TATAAGCTTGGGAGGGAATATTCTAAATAGCACAACTGCAGAAAGGGATCTCAGAGTCGTAGTTGACTCCAAAATGAACACGAGTCACCAATGTGATGAGGTAAAAAGTAAAGCTAACTGGATCCTTTCTTGCATAAGTAGGTGCATCACAAACAGGTCTAGGGAGGTGATACTTTCCCTCTGTGCGGCACTGGTCAGGCCACAGCTGGAGTACCGCATCCAGTTTTGGGCACCACACTTCAGGAGGGATATGAATAGCCTGGAGAGCGTTCAGAGAAGGACCATTTGTCTGGTTAAAGGCCTACATAAAAAACCCTATGTGGACCGATCGGGAGACCTGAGCCTCTTCAGCCTCTGCAAGAGAAGACTGAGAGGTGTTCTCGTGGCCACCTACAAACTCATCTTGGGGTCCCAGCAAAAAATAGTGGATACAATGTTTACCAGGGCACCTGTCAGGGTAACTAGAAATAATGGCCACAGACTGGAAGAGAGCAAATTCAGATTGGACATCAGGAAAAAAATCTTTACAGTGAGGGTTGCCAAAATATGGAATAAGAGTGGTGGTGCTGTCCCCTTCCTTGGAGGTATTTAAAAGGAGATTGGACAGACACCTGGCTGGGGTGATCTGACCCCAACACTCATTCCTGCCTAGGGCAGGGGGTCAGACTCGATGCTCTAATAGGTCCCTTCCGACCCTAACATCTATGAAACTATGAAACTATATGCAATATAAGTGACAGTTAATGGCTTTCACGGACTTCCATGGGGATTAAGTCCAAAGAAGTCATTGACACGTAACAATCTAAGTGGCAGTTTGAGGCCATCTGAAAAACTGTGGGGAGTGGTGGGACTACCTGGGACCCTTAGCCAATCAGAGGGTGTGCCTGCCATGCTCAGCCTGTAAAAATGATGGCCAGCTCTAAGGTCTGCCTGCAAAATGAGCTGGCTGCCACTCTGACTCCAGTAGATCCCTAGTTATTTTGCATCCATTGCTATTAAATCAAGCCCTATCCACAGACAAACACTCAACTTGATGTAGTATTAGTAACTTCACTGGTCTGTCAGGAATTAGGAGAACTGGTCAACAGCTAACATAACTACTTTGCAATTCAGACACAGGCTAACACCACTTGAGTACTGCTAGCCCTCCAATGCCATCTCCCAGTTCATTGGGAAACACTTCACAGAGCATCAGTTCAGCTTACTGCAGGGCCAAGAACTATATGACAGTCCTCCAGAAAACTTAGCAGCACACAACAGTGAGTGCAGCACCTATGTGAACACAGCAGCTGTATTTTCATTTTGTAGTGTAGCTGCTTTCATTGAACTAGGATCTCTCAAGAGAAGTAACTCAGATGTATACAACTTAATGATCTACTGTGACATATACCTTTGCAGATAACTTTTTGTCGAAAGTGGCTTTGTTAAAAGGGAATGAGCCTAGCAGATATAAAAAGAAAATGAACATTGCCAGGCTTTCCTCTTTAAACCTCAAAATTCAACCAGAAACTTTCCCAAGCTTAAGAGACTTAGTTCAGATAAAAAAACCCAAGGGAGTGGAGAATACCTGCTGTTGTTACTGAATGTAGTGCATACCAGTGTACTTAAAACTGAACAAGGCATTCATGTGCAGAAGAAACAGATGGCATCTTCAAACCCTGTTGAACTGCCAGGTGCCCTTAGTAGCAATGATGCTCCCACCATAACCTTAGTGAAAAGAAATAATTTTAATAAGAAGATTCTTAAACCTTAGGAATACTATCTCATTAGAAGTTATGTGCTTCTTTTTGGGTACAGCATAGGTCTGCTCTTTCACCTCTATGGGTTTTTATAACCTGTCTTCCTTGTACAGATTCTACCCAGATATGACAGCATCCCACTGATTTTTGTTGTTCTGCCTTTTTTCAAAAAACCCAATTATATTTAGTTCCCCTTCTACTGTGTCAGGCATTCTGTTTCACTTCCATTTTTGAGCTTCATAAATTGTCAAATAAACAGTAAAGATTTTAATTTTCAGCCATGCACCCACATGTATTAAATGTTTCTGACATTTTTGTACTATATTTCTAGGATGTCAAACTCTTCTTTCTCATGTGCTGGCCTTTACTATTGCATAAAGAGTTTTCCTTTCTTTAATAATATTTACCTTTTCCCAACTTGAGGGCTGTTCAGGGGGCTCTCTCGTTCCTGGCTGAAATCAAGTTTTGATTTTAACAGAGCAGAAGGATACATTTGGATTATTAATAGCTAGTATACTTTTCTATTACATCCATATGACCTTAAGGAGAGAATCCTAATGACAGCCATGTTCTCTGACACTTTTATAACAGAATTTCTAGGGGATAATGACAGCTTTAACACAGAGTTTATAAAGTCTTTAAAGCAAATCTCATTTGGTTGGTCAGGGTGATGGGAAAGAGTAGGGAAAAGGGTAAACAAAGGTCTTTGCAACAAGGATAAGATGAGAAAACAGGAAGAGCTTTTTTAAAAAAAAAAGGGTAATGGAAGATGCACTGCTTCAAAAGCATCTGGAAAAGTTTATACAAAAACTGGAACTGCCCATGTAGAAATAGCTGCCATAGTCTGCTAGAAAGACAAATATTTTAGTTAACTATACAGGGACAGACATCCTTCAAGAGCAGAACTGTCAACTCTACAATTATCAACCAAGATCTTTTCAGCAGCGGACAATGTCAAATTTCCTCCCATAGAAGTTTCCTGATTTCCAGGAGTAGAGTCACCACCCTTCAGAATTCCTCACCTGGGAGGAATTGTGTGTAGACATTACAGAAGAGATGTGGTAAAGTTGCCCCTCACTCTACAATACGTCTCATCCTTGTCGGAGTTGCACAGTGGCACTATGATGTTCAAGTGTTTTTAAAGCACTTAGAGACGCTCTAAGAAAAGGATCTCTCTCTCTCTTAGTGCTGGGTACAGTAAAGATTTAGGAATTTCTCCATGTTTTCTCCATGGAAAGGCAGAAAGTCTCTCCCATTCCATCTCCCCTCATTCAATTCAGCATTACAAGTAAGGGAGCTGGAATGATCTTGAATAATTAGTCACAGACACAGGTTGCTCAAGGGGCCTGAAGAATGGCAACTTCAAAAATCTAAGTTCAGTCACCCCTAAATACACACAATCAGTTTTCCTCTGCAGTTCTACATTTCAAATTACTCCAGATCCTGCAAAAACTGAAAAAAAAACCATCTGAGAGAAACAAACTGTTGAACAGTTTGCCCAAGGCAAGCAGATGCTGATTGCATAATACATTATGTTGCAAGTAATCTTTAAAAAAATTAAACATCTACTGCTAAAAATGTGCCACCATTAAACTGTTAAAATTACACCAGTCAAGTAATTTCAAGTCCATAGACTGTAAAGCAAAAAAGGCCCAACTTTGTGAACCCATCTGTATATAAAAGTGGTTGTTTAACAAATACATAAATTTAAGCACAGATGGATTTAAGCATTAATGTGAATTCTTTTCTGAGTTAGAATTTAAAAAAATCAAAACTATGGCTATGTGGTGCTTAGCAAGCACCTAAAATGTTACCATCATATATCTTTAATTCAATCTGAACACTGCAAAGAAGCAGATTGCTATCTTTTGGGTAATTATTTGTAAAGCAATATAAAACACTGTCTTTGTTTACATGAAAGTATATAAATAGTCCAAAAAATGCCCAGAAGGCAGATTTGGCATACACATACATTTCATGTCTGTTTATTGAGCACTGATGAAAAACAGTTTGGAAACTTTTCCAGCAACTATTTCTATCCTGCATGCTCACCAGACAAACATATCATTCAAACATAGGTTTCATTTTAGCATAATTTAATGCTTAACAAAGGTAATCATTTTTGATTTTGCATAATTAAGTTTACAAAAATAATGTAACATTTATAAAATAAATCAGCATTTCCCAATAAATTACAGTAGTGACAGTCTTATTTGACAATATATTGCATAAAATAGATAACATCCTTTAGAAAGTCAAAATGCTATGTTACATGCTTTAATCTAGTATTTTGGCAGTGTGTGAAAACATTTTATTGTACATACTCTGTATATAGTACCGTGTAAAAACAAACGCAAAGTCTGGTTCTGTATCAGTTATATGAGAATTCAAAAAAACATATTTTGGGAAACTAAAGAACAAACCAAAACAGGGTGAGACTTCAGTTGTGAAATATGCTGAGCATTAAGACAGTAGACCAGAACTTATTCCTATAGAAGTGCTTGGAGCTTTGCTATTGGTTGCCTTGGCTTCAGGAATAAGTACAATCACTTAAATGGGAGTTACATGGGTCAGTACCAATCAGGAACAGGCTCTAATTTTTTTCATAAAAGACTCAGTCTCTATGCATGCAAAGCAAATAGTCCTGCTCCACTGAAATTAATGTTGAATTTCTTAACATTAACAGAAGTATATGCAAGGCCACTGTTAGTAATTTATTATTCTGCTAACAAAAAGTGAAGAATACATACCAAAAGAGAAGAACAACAAGTTCTTACTGTTCCATACAGCAATTTACTATACGCTCTTTCATAAAAAATGCAAAATATCCAGTAGACAGAGAAAAATAGTTTTAAAAAGGCTTGCAGTTTATAAAATAACTACAAATACCATAAAGTAACATATATTTTGTTTGGTGCTATGTGAACTCATTAAATTTTAGACATTTTCAAATCAACACTTAATTTTTCCTACATTATATTATTTTGTGGCTGTCTGCACAAAAGGGACTGTGAGTTTTTAAGGATGGGTATATACTATTTTACTATCCATCAAGTTAGTGGCACCATGATGGTGACATAGTTTTCTGATGCTACAATAAATGAAGGCACCTAAAGCCAGAGCAAACCATATATCTGACTCTAATGTGCAATTTTATTAAAATAATCTAACAACTTTTATTATTTAGTTCTTTGCATTTTCAATTTCTAGTTAACAGTTTATGAAGAAAAAGTTTCCATTAAATAGAAAAAGAATGATCACTGCTATTAGGAATAACCAGACTGTGCAAAGTGGTATTTTTGTGATGTCATTTCCTGAATGACAGTGCAGCAAAATACAGTCTCTTTACATCCCAGTGAATACAGGGTCACATTATATACTAACTGTGTGCAAATGTAACCACTGGTCAGTATGTTACAGATCCCCTTCTGTGTTCAGCTATGAAGGATTATCCATTGTTACAGGCCCTAGAAGTCTACCTCTTTAGCTTAAGCTATAGCAGTTCCTGCTGATGGCTTTAGAGGCCCTGAGTTCAGTTTCTGTTGTGTTATGCAAGGTGACAGCCTTCACAGAAGTGGGGACTCATCACAACCTATAGAAGCTCACTGACATTCCAGTTCTGGATGAATGCCCAACTGCATACTTGCTCGATGGCTACTGTCTTAGGCAAAATGTCACAGTTTTAACCGGGAACTGACAAAACTAAAAACACGATCTGCTACAGCTTGTACTAACCCAACCACTTCAGTTGAAGACTATAGACCATGTCCTCTGTGGATCACAGACCAACAATTCACATACTAACCAATTAGCTACATAAACATAGTGCACGTGCAGAATAAAATAAGGTTCACAAACCCACATTTCATGGTTTGCTTGTTTGGGGGTTTTTGCTCATTTCTCTATGTTGCTGGCTTTCTCATTTTTATCATGTTCATCCAAACTGATAGGTAAACATGACAGCTGTTATTCAATAAATTTAATTCTTAAGTTGACGCTGTTTATCAGGGGCATGATTTCCCCACTTTAGGAGTTGTTAATAAATCAGGACTTGCTTCCATTAAGTACTTTCACTTTAATTCATATATTCTGTTTAAAATCCTACTCTGCTATTTGTTACGGAATCTTGGCTATTGTTTTCTTAACCCACACTTTCAAGTCTACCATTCATAGCTAAATAAGCTCAAATCAGAGTCACATCTCAATGAAGAAAGTATGTACATATCTAAAATAAAAAATGACAACTACAAATGTAAAATAAAAAATGAACCTGTTCAATTAAATGATCCAAAAATGTTAACCAAATGTGTGTGTGTGTGTGTGTGTGTGTGTGTGTGTGTGTACTCTGCAGTATAATCTGCATAGTGTGCTTTGCTTTCTAAGATTTAAAACAGAACAAGATATAATTTATTATCTTAAGATTTCCAGTGTTCAGGTGTCCTAAAAATGTATACAGTGCATATAAAAGAAAAAAAAAAGAAACATTATCACAATGGCTTTTGTTTCAAAATAGATTGATGTGCAATGACTGTAGCCTGATTTGTAGACATTTTGTATTCTTGTCCAGAGCCCTGTGGAGGGGATGGCAATGGAGTTTCTGGAGTCGCTGAAAAAGAATTAGGGGAAATTATGTATTATAATCTTGATTAATCTATATACATATTTAGGGTGCACATATTGCTGTAGCCTACAAAAGTAAATTCCTGCATTAGTCTCATGAGGTACATATTATTTTTTTAAATCAACACGTCACCCATTATAATATTAAAAAGTGTCAAGTGTTTTACACTAAAACCAAACCAAAATATATTGCTTAGTACCTTGTTTCTATGGCTAAGGACAGAAATTAAATATAAACTGGTATAATTGATCAGACACTGGCTCAAATCTATAATGCAACAGTGTTAAGGAGAGATATTACACATAAAACGGTATAAGTGATCGGAAACTGGTTCAAATCTGTAACACAACAGAAGTTCAGTGCACATAAATAACTTTCAAAATGGCCAAAACCCATTTAAGATAAACCTAGATGGATGTACTATCAGTAGGAACCTATGTAATCCACAGAGGCTGCCTGGGCAGCCATTTCACAAGCAGAGCACAGAAGCCCCCTCCCCCACCACACCCCCATGCCTTAGAGCGGGCAGCACTTTTTTCCCTCTCCACCTCCCAGCAAGAATTTTATTTTATTTCTGCCCCCACCATGAAGTCTGTGGATTTTGCAGCATTGCCTGGATATCACAGGCAGTGCTAGAGTTTGCAGAATCTATGAAATCTGCTGAATTGGTGGGTCCCTAAATATCAAACTTAACTAACTGAGGTTAAATCAATGTACTGAACTTCTGTCCCAGACTCCTCCAGATCCAAGTTAACTCACAATCTCCCAGCATCCCAAAATGCTTTGCACCTCCCCTGCAAGCCTCCCCTCTCAGGGTTGGTGGTTTAAGCTTGGCCAAAACTGTATGCCCCAGCCAAGCAGGGCACTGTAGCCACTGCCTGGCTTCTGGCCTGGGCCACTGCAGGCATGTGGCTACATTTCCAGAATCAAAAGTTGAATGTCTGTTCACTTGTTTATCGGTTCAATCTATGCATTTTAGACTAACCTGCAAAGATTGAATAATTTAGCCTCAGGCTTTTTGACTATCTGTACTTAGCCCACAGGTATTTTTAATGTATGATTATTTACATGCCAGGAATTATGATGAAAAAAATGAACACTAGCATTAATAGGCTACTGTTTTAGTGAATTTGGCAGTTGCTTCAACCTGACAGTGACATTTTTGTGATAAAAAACTAAATTGCAACTACTTACAGATCTGTTCCGTATGTACAGGGGTGGACATTGGACTTATGAGGATAGTTTGGCCAGTTAATGGATCTTGGGCCAAATGAGGATGCATTGGATGATGAATATGACTAGCATCATTAGAAATGCCTGCAAAAATAATATGAACATAGCTCAAATAAAGACGTTGCTACTTACAGTGTGTAATCTATACTGTGATAATTACAGTTCCATCAGGTAAATATTCTTTTGATTGCTAATTTGAATGGTTGTTTTGGGGTATTCATTAAATAATTTAGCAAGACTTCATCCATATTAAGTACCATGTTTGTGTTCATTGTTTGGGTTGTATTAACAGTGGATTTCATTAAGCTTGTAATGATTCCCTTATCTGTCCCAAGATATACTCAGGCAGACAGGTATGCCTGAGGACACAGTGCACCTTGAAACTGTAAGACCATGACTAGTGAGCCTAAGAGACTTCAGCTAATCTTTATTCATTCCCACTAAGCCTGAGCAATCTCATGGGTTCCCCCCACCCACCCAAAGTGTTTAACATATTAATATCATATGGAATATAATATGATGATAGTGATATGCTCACCCCCTAGTAACATTTCCTGAAGCAAACTGTCAATTTTAACCACTCCGAATAGTTTGACCAATTGTATTTGCTCAATCATTTGCCAGGTGATACTCTGGAGTGTAGGTAACAGAAGCAAAAGTTCTCCAAACCTTCCCCTGGAGTCATATTGACGATCATTAATGTAATCCTCTAAACTTATCTGGACTTGGAATCGCATGTTCTTAATCTTTAATGGATTGTTGAGTCCCTTTGCATCTTGAAAAGAAAATACTTCAACGTAAGGCAAATTCATGGAATGGCCATTTTTTGTTCAGATACATATATGCAAATAAATGTTACATCATCATGACAAATTTCAGTATCAGTATTGGAACAATTATTTTGAAAGACTTTTTGGAAACTGTACCTGGATCAAAAAACACAATTGCTTTCAAGCAAGCATACTCATTGTCATCTATCTGGATTTCCTGGAATGGCCGGACTAGTTCATCTAGAATCCGGTTTGCCACTCTGCTGATTTCTACTTCGGAACTGTTGCGATGGATTATATAATTGTTACCTTGAAAAGAAATATACTCATTTATAAATTGATATTACATAAAGTTTTCAATCTAAAGAGCTTTTTGGAACAAATTTTCAAAATCAGCTTTTACATTTGAGATAATCAAATGTTAGCAGAAATTCTCTCAACAAAACTATATTTAAATATATATGTGCAAAATACAAGCCTGATCCTGTAAGCATTTATGAAGGTGAATACTTCATTAAACATAAATTTACTAAATAGTATAAGTGACTGTGGAATCAAAGCCTACATTACATGCACAAATTTGTTTGTCCTCCAATTAGCCTTCTATCACAAGTCTATCTTGGCATATTTGATCCAGTAGAAGCAATAAGTCTTCTGGAAAACTGTATGCACAGTTTGAAAAGCCAGAAAAGGCCACTTTGAAATGTGGTCATTGGAAATATTATAATTCACTGAAATATTAAAAATTTTTGCTTCTAGTTTATTTTATTCTGAAGAAATACAGCAAGTAATAGCTTTATGGACTCCTATTTCTGGTAGATAGCTTTATGTATTTGAAGCATCCCAATCATTACGGATGATACTAATAAGAAAAATATAAATTGGTTAAATCCTGGTCCTGCTGAAGTTAATGTGAGCAAATGTCTAGACAGAAATAAAATGCTTACTTCTATCTGAAAAGTGGTACTATTCAGTACTTCACTGTATTGATAAAGGATACTAATCAGTACACATTCCTTTAAACACATAATAATGAATTTCCTTGGCTTAAATTTTTCAGATACTCCTATAACTTGCATTTAAAAATTATTCTTTTTCTCATGTTATACAGGGAAGCCATTTTTGGGACACCTTTCTAGGAGAGTAATAAAGGAGGTAGTAAGGCTTTATGTACATGCACTGAGCAAGATTCTGTTCCATTTATTAGGTACCCTCTCAGTAGAATAGATTCTAGCCCCATGAGGTACACAGGTATTAAAAGGGGGGGAACCAGCTGCAATACCTTAACCACTGGCATTTTTTAGGGATCTATCCAGGTGCCTCAAATTTAAAAAGGCTGAGAATCACTGCCCAAGACTCCCTCTTTTCTACACCCTGGCCCACATGAAGATGCTTTCTGGGGACATCTAGAAAGTTTTTGAAAAGATTACCAAGTACCACGTAAATTACTAACCTAGATAAAGCTTGCTAGTGTGTTATGACATGGAACAATTGTAGCACACATTTTACTAGAGTAAGGATGTCACTTGAAAGTACTAAGCATGCTCAGGTTTCTGGTGTCAATAGGACAGCAGTAAATTTAATTTGCAGTTGCCCATGCTTTACATACAGCATGGCATGTGACAATATAAATTTGTCACTGAAAATTGTTTGGAATCACTGGCATGAATCATGCTGATTATGCTATGGCAGTTTCCCAGGTTAACTGAGCATGCTGCTTATTGGGAAGCTGATTCCCTAGTAGTTAGTAAAATAAGTAACATATCGCTAGGCTTGGCAGGATTCTACTTTTATTGCTAAACATAGAGAAATGTCAATTTCACCTCACATTCACAGACTGACAAAAACTTATTTCCACCAGTAATTATAGAAAAGAGACATAAGGGAAAGAAAAATTCTGGGATAGGATAAGGAAATCCGGGACAGGGGACACTGCACTTATGCGCGTGCACAGACACACACATACACACAGCAGTTGTTGCAGGCAGGGTTGGGGGAGCCCCAGCACTGCCCACACAGGAACTGGGGCATGCTGGGAGGGCAATCCTGGCATTGAGGGTTGGTTGGATGCCAGCTGCTGGCGACAAAGCATGGAAGCAGGGACATTGCTATGGGGGCCTGCTGCCGAGAAGAATGGCTGCTGGCACCTGGGAACCTGGTGCTGTTGGCTGCTCACTCTTCCCAGGTCCCAGGCAGTGATCAGACACCAACCTCCCACCAAACCTAGACTGACCTGGCTCCTGTGTGCTTGGGAGAAGACACCAAACTCCTGCAGAGCCTGACCTGGTCCCATGAGGGTGCTCCTGGGGCTCACCTGCTGCCCCTGCACTGCCTGACCGAATATGAGACTATGACTGTCAAGGGGCTGGACTGCCCCTCAGCTGGGCTGGGCAGCCACTGTCTCCCACACAGTGCAGTGTCCAGGGCATTCAGTGGCACTTGACAGCCAGGAGTCCCCTGATAAGCCTCTTCCTGGAGTGAGCACCACCAGCAGCCTCAGGCTGCAGCCCCTACCCTGGCTCCTGCCCCCAGACTGTCTTCTGTGAGAGTGAAGGTTCCAGCCTGGTATGAATGTGCTACCAAATAAACAGAATGATTTGAAGTAGGTATGCATTTATTGATTTATGAAAATTTACTTTTAATATTTTGACATGTGATTTTATAAAGTTTTTAACAGTATACTATTAAAAACTAGCAAAAGGGAGGTGTACACCTAATGGAAGGGAGGGACCAACACCAGGGAGGACTATACTGCAGTTGCTCGGGGATTCAGGGGGGCAGTCAGGAAGGCCAAGGTGGAGATGGAACTGGGACTAGCTTCCCGGATCAAGGACAACAAAAAGTCCTTTTTTAAATACATAGGGGGCAAAAAGAAGATTCCGGTTAATGTGGGGTCCCTGCAGGACCTGCTGGGAAATTTGGTCGTCACCAGATGACAAAGCCAACATATTTAACGATTTCTTTGCCTCCATTTTCCTAAGCAGGGACCGGAACAGTCACCCACCCTCTGGGCCCCACTTAGATCCCGGGGAGGTGTACCTAGGCCAAGGGTTAGTGAGGAACTAGTTAGAGAACTTCTGGAAGGACTGGATGTATTCAAATCAGTTGGTCCAGACGATCTCCACCCTATAGTACTGACGGAATTGGCTAAGGTCACTGTGGGACCCCTGGCACGGCTTTACAAGCACTCGTGGTGCTCTGGTGTGGTGCCAGAGGACTGGAAGAGGGCCAATGTGGTTCCCATTTTCAGAAAGGGGAGGAAGGAGGACCCGGGAAACTATAGGCCGGTTAGTCTTACCTCGATCCTGGGCAAGCTTTTTGAGAAAATTATTCTGGCGCATATCCACAAGGGGGCAGCAGGGGAG